CATATTCTCATCATCATCATCATCCCATGAATCATCTTCTTCACTTGATGTTTCTTGCTTGGCTTTTCCCTTGGATGATGTGGCCTTGAATGCCACGCTCTTCTTCTTGTCATCCTTCTTCTCATCTTTCTTCTCCCTCTTTTCTTCTTTCTCATCATCATCTCTATATGTATCATCGGTCATTATGTCTCCCAACACTTGGTTTGGTGTCATGGTATCCAAACCACTTCTCACTAGAATAGTGACCAATGTACCAAATCTTGAAGGCAAACATCTCAAGAACTTGTGGGAGAAGTCCTTGTCATTCACCTCTTCTCCAAGTGCTTTGAGATCATTGACAAGCACTTAAAGCCTAAGGAACATCTCCGGCACACTCTCATCCTCCTTCATCTTGAAGCTTGCAAACTTCTCTTTGAGAATGTATGCCTTTGCACCCTTCACGGCTTGAGTGCCCTCAAATGATTCTTCCAACTTCTTCTAAGCCTCATGAGTTATCTTGATATTCTTGATTTGCTCAAATGTTCTCTCATCAATTGCATCATGAATGGCACTTAGAGCAATATCATTGTTTTGGAGAAGCACTTCTTCGGTCGCGGTGGGATTCTCCGGATCTTCAATCTCAATTTTGGTTTCTACCACCTTCCACACCTTTCTATTGATTGACTTGATATGTGTGGTCATCTTTGACTTCTAATATGGATAATTTGTGCCATCAAATTGGGGTGGCTTCTTTATGTTGTTGATTTAAGTCATTTTTACACCGAAGGTTGTTAAGCCTCAAATCACGGTGACCTTGTCTCTGATACTACTTGAAAGGTCCTAATGGCTAGAGGGGGTGAATAGCCTAATAAAATTTCTACAACAACACTTAACAAAAGGATTAGACAATTATGAGGCGACGCGAGTTTTGCGCTAGCCTACCAAAAAGCAAGCCACCTACCACAATTCTAGTTTAGATGGAGTATATCCACACAATAGCTATATCACTACACTAAGTTAGTGTGCTCTCAAAGGCTAACTAAAGAGCCACACTAACCAAACTAACAAGCTCTCACAACTAGTTACACTAAAGAGCTTGACAGCTAGTTTGCGGTAATGTAAAGAGTAGGCAAGAAGGTTATACCGCCGTGTAGACATATGAACCAATCAATCACAAGTGTGGATAACAATGAAGACCAATCACCTCGGAATCAATGATGAACACAATGATTTTTTACCGAGGTTCACTTGCTTGCCGGCAAGCTAATCCTCGTTGTGGCGATTCACTCACTTGGAGGTTCACGCGCTAATTGGCTTCACACGCCAAACCCTCAATAGGATGCCGCACAACCAACACAAGATGAGGATCACATAAGCCACGAGCAATCCACTAGAGTACCTTTTGGCGCTCCACCGGGGAAAGGTTAAGAACCCCTCACAATCACCACGATTGGAGCCGGAGACAATCACCACCCTCCGCTCGACGATCCTCGCTGCTCCAAGCCGTCTAGGTGGCGGCAACCACCAAGAGTAACAAGCGAAACCCGCAGCAAAACACGAACACCAAGTGCCTCTACATGCAAACACTCAAGCAATGCACTTGGATTCTCTCCCAATCTCACAAAGATGATGAAACAATGATGGAGATAAGTGGGAGGGCTTTGGCTAAGCTCACAAGGTTGCTATGTCAATGCAAATGGCCAAGAGAGTGAGCTTGAGCTAGCCATGGGGCTTAAATAGAAGCCCCCACGAAATAGAGCCGTTGTACCCCTTCATTGGGTACAACGCGGGGTGACCGGACGCTCCGATCATACTGACCGGACTCTGGACCCAGCGTCCGGTCGCCCGATGTCAGCCACGTGTCACACTATGTTCAACAAGAGTCGTCTGATCTCAATGGTCATCTGTTGATCGGACGCTCTGCTACAACTGACCGGACTCTGAGCCTCCAGCGTCCGGTCGTTTCCAGTAAGGTTCCAGAAACGAATTTCTTTGACCGGACGCGTCCGGTCATGCTTGACCGGACCCTGCCAGCGTCCGATCACACTATGACTTCTTACTGTGCCGCCCGACAACACGACCAGACCTAGACCCTTAGCGTCTGATCTGTCCATGACCCAGCATCCGGTCATTCACCGACGCTGGCGTCTTCACTGCCATACATGGCCGGACGCGCCGGTCCCCTAGAGGTCCAGCATCCGGCCACTGTATAGCCAGCGACACTAACTCCTTTTCATTTCTATCTTCTTCACCTTTGCTCAAATGTGCCAACCACCAAGTGTATCACCTTGTGCACATGTGTTAGCATATTTTCACAAATATTTTCAAGGGTGTTAGCACTCCACTAGATCCTAAATGCATATGCAATGAGTTAGAGCATCTAGTGGCACTTTGATAACCGCATTCCGATACGAGTTTCACCCCTCGTAATAGTACGGCTATCAAACCTAAATGTGATCACACTCTCTAAGTGTCTTGATCACCAAAACAAAATAGCTCCTATGGTTTATACCTTTGCCTTGAACTTTTTGTTTTTCTCTTTCTTCTTTTCAAGTCCGAGCACTTGATCACCACCATGGCATCATCTTCATCATGCAATGATCTTCATTTGCTTCACCACTTGGAGTGTGCTACCTATCTCATGATCACTTGATAAACTATGTTAGCACTTAGGGTTTCATCAATTCTCCAAAACCAAACTAGAGCTTTCAGTGGTCCAGAAGTAGTGCCGAGCACTATAGCTAGGGTGCCGAGCACTCCAGGTGCTATGCCGAGCACTCCGGCGGAATAGGGAACTCCATCGACGCCGATCGAGTTCGCCTCACCTCCAAGTGACATCACTAAGTTCGTGGATGCCTTCCACAAAGGTGAGGAGGTGCGGTTCTGTAGGCTGGATGACATCGTCAATGGCATAGGGCCCTCAGGCCTGGCGGGTTGGCTGCTCAATGACCAAGAGCTGCTGCTCATCAGTGCAGAGGAACCACCTACGTTCACGCTGGCCGAGCGTGATGGAAACTGGCGATAGGCAATGCTGGAAGAGATGAAGGTGATCGAGGAAAACGAGACTTGGGAGCTCGTCGATCCACCCCCAGGATGTCGTTCGATCGGCCTGAAGTGGGTGTACAAGGTCAAGCTGGACGAGCACGGCGCCATTGTCAAACACAAGGCGTGCCTCGTCGCCCGAGGCTTTGTCCAGCGCGAGGGCATCGACTTTGAGGAAGTCTTTGCGCCGGTAGCGCGCATGGAGTCTGTCCGACTGCTTTTGGCTTTGGCAGCAGCAAAGGATTGACGCGTCCATCACTTGGACGTAAAATTGTCCTTCCTCAACGGTGAGCTGGCGGAGACAGTCTTCGTCAGGCAACCTCCAGGTTTCGCCATCAAGGGAGTGGAGCACAGGGTGCTCCAACTGCGCAAGGCGCTCTACGGGCTATGGCAGGCTCCACGAGCGTGGAACGCCAAGCTTAACGCTACGCTGGACAAGCTTGGGTTCACGAGGTGCGCAACCGAGCACGCGCTCTATACACGATGACGGGGGAAGGAGGAGCTCGTCGTCGACGTGTATGTGGACGACTTGATCATCACCGACGCGCGTGTAGAGGACATCGACAGCTTCAAGCGCAAGATGGTGGCTCATTTTCGAATGAGCGGTCTCGACACACTCTTCTACTACCTCGGCATCGAGGTGAGACAGGGGAAGGAGGCACTCACGCTCGGTCAGAGCATGTACGCCTTGAAGCTGTTGGAGCGGAGCGGCATGGCTGAGTGTAAGCCGTGCGTGACTTCGATGGAGGAGCGATTGAAGCTGACGAAGGCCAGTACTGCGGCGAAGGTAGATGCGACACTCTACCGGAGCATCGTCGGTGGTCTACGCTACCTAGTCCACACGAGGCCGGACATTGCGTTCGTCGTGGGCTACGTCAGCCGCTTCATGGAGGATCCCAGAGAGGATCACTGGGCTGCAGTGAAGCGGCTACTGCGCTACATCAAGAGGACGGTGGATCAGGGAATCGTCTTTCCCAAGACTGGCGGGAGTAGGCTGCAGCTCACTGTGTTCAGCGATGCAGACATAGCGGGGGATATCAACGAACGGCGGAGCACCTCTGGCGTGCTCGTCTTTCTCGGTCGGCTCCAATTTCATGGTTGTCGCTGAAACAGAAGGTGGTGGCGCTGTCTACATGCAAGGTAGAGTACGTAGCAGCGGCCACAGCGGCGTGCCAAGTTGTGTGGCTGCGTCGGCTGCTGGGCGAGCTGACCAGTGTGGAAGCTCACCCACCAGCACTGATGGTGGACGACCAGCCCGCCATCGCTCTCGCAAAGAATCCGGTTCTCCACGACCGGAGGAAGCACATCGACGTGAAGTTTCACTTTCTCAGGGACTGTGTCGATGGAGGGCAGATCGTCATCGAGTTCATCGAAACTGATCGGCAACTCGCGGGCGTCCTCACCAAGCCGCTCGCCCGTCTTCGACTCATGGAGCTGAAGAAGATGATCGGCATGGAAGAGGTTCAAGGGTAGCAGAAGGATTAGAAGAAGAATTGTTAGATAATCTTCTGCATCCCTTGTGTGAATGCGCAGCAGGGGAGGGCGCCCGAAAAGAGCTCCCTACTGTTGCACTATAGCAACTGTAGGGGTAGGCGCCGAACGGCTCACCTGCCGTACTGTTGCCACAGCAGGGGCAGACGCCAAAGTCAGCCCTGCTATCACATCTAATCACTGTAGCAGCATGCAGCCTGATATGTTTGTACTAGTGTTAGATTGATAGAGTTGTATATATACTTTGCCACTGCAACTCAGTAAAGAGCGAGTTTAGATTTGTCATCTTCTATATATAGCTTCGGTCAATACTGATGTCTCTGCTATGTATATGCTCTGTTCTCTTTTTCTTCTTCTACCTCTAATCACAGTACGTGGTCCATAATGATAGTTCATAGTCGGCATCACTCGTGCGTGATCGATAGAGTGGTCGGATATCTAGGTAGACGGCCCAACAGTTCTGCGAGCTTCCGGAGCCGATCCTGCAGGCGCCAAAGCTGCCTACACCACCAGCACGCGCGCCTAAGAACCGTGGCGCCGGGAAGAGGAGGACCTTGGCTGCCACGCGCTCAAGCCTCTGCCAGGCGGCCAGGCCCTCACCCATACCTGTGGCCGAGCGTGCTACGCGCAATCTGATGCGCGAGCTGGAGTTCATCAACAGCCAGCAGCAGCAGGCACCAGACGCGGCGGTGGATGAGTATGTGGATCTGTATGCAGGGAACCTTCCAGAGATGGCAGTTGAGGCCATCAAGGCGGCGACTCGTATGGGCAACAAGAAGCTGACCAAGGTCCTGGAGGCAATTGTGCAGGAGGCGGATGCAGTGGAGATGGAGACTAAGTCATCGGCTGCTGCCTGTTTCGTAGTCATGTTAGTCAGATCATGTTAGGGTCAGTGCCAGCGCCGGCCGGTCTTAAACCGGTTGAGTTAGGATCAGTTGTTATCTGTGATGTTTGTACTGGGAAGAGGGGTGGTTTGCTAGATGACAGCCATGGTGGAACTTTAGGTGGAATGTCATTCAGATGTAGTCTGTGGGCAGGTGTGCCATCATGTTGTGCTGTTCTAATAGATTTCATGGTTTGCTAGCCATCTGTGCTCTCTTGCTGTTGTCTTTTGCTTTCCAATGACTGAAAGTGATGCAAAGATTTTGAACTGGAATGTGCGTGGGCTGAACAGTGCAGCAAGAAGGGAGGCGGCGAGACTGATTGTGCAGCAAGCAAGGCCACACATTGTGTGTCTGCAGGAAACCAAACTGGATGCCATTGATGGACCTCTGGTAGTGGAGTTCCTGGGGTATAACTTTTGCTCCAGTTTTGAATTCCTGCCTGCAGATGAAACCAGGGGGGAGTACTGACTGCCTGGGACCAAGATCACATCATGGGAGAAGCAGTGAGGAGGGGGGCTTTCTGCCTCTCGATACAGGTCACCTTGAGGCAGTCAAACCACTGATTTGTGTTAACTACTGTCTATGGCCCAGCAAACAACAATGATAAGCAAGCCTTCCTGGCCGAGCTGATCGGGTGCCAGCCGGGGAGCAGGCCATGGCTTTGCCTCGGCGATTTCAACCTCATCTATGAGGCCCAGGACAAAAATAACAACAACATCAATAGGGCACATATGAGGAGATTCAGACAGGCCCTGGACGCAAGTGAACTGATGGAGATCAAGCTCCAAAATAGGAAATACACATGGAGCAATGGGAGGAGAAACCCGACATTAGTGAAGCTTGACAGAGTTTTTTGCAACCGTGAATGGGATGAAATTCTTCCAAGCGCCGGTCTGCTAGCCCTTAGCAGTTCCCTCTCAGACCACTTCCCTCTTTTTCTTTGTAATCAGCAGCAGCCGCACAGGAAAGTGAGCTTCAAGTTTGAAACCTTCTGGACACGAGTGCCTGACTTCCCCCAAGTGGTGCAGAATGCATGGAATGAACCTGTTAGAGGAAATAATCCACTGATGATCCTTCACAACCGACTTCAGAACACAGCACGGGCACTTAAAAGGTGGAGCAAGTCGCTATTCAGTGAAGCACGCCTACAAATGCAAATGGCAAATGAAGTGATCTTGCTATTGGATATTGCCCAAGAATCGAGGCCGCTATCTGAGGCAGAGTCTGATCTTCACAGACAGCTGAAACAACTACTATTGGGCTGGGCAGCAATAGAATGATCAAGACGAAGGCAGAGCTCCCGGATCATTCAAATAAAGGAGGGTGACGCTTGCACGAAATTCTTCCATCAGCGAGCCAAGGGGCGTCGCAAACAAAACATGATTGTGTACCTCAAGGATGAAGCTGGCACGCTAGTCTGGATTCTGGAAGCACAACGAGAAGGAGAACATCCTGTACCAGCACTTCGTGGGAGTCTTGAGTAGCAAAATAAATAGACGCCACACCTTGGATTGGGATAATCTCGGCTTGAGCAGAATTGATGATCATGAGCTTGACCGACCTTTCACCCTGGAGGAGCTCAAGCACATAGTGGATGAATTGCCGGCAGAAAAGGCTCCAGGGCCAGATGGCTTTACTGGGCTGTTCTATAAGAGATGCTGGGATATTATCAAGATGGATGTACTTGCAGCGATGAATTGCGTCCATGATCTTAGGGCAGGGCCACTGGATAAGCTAAACGGGGCCAACATAGTACTCATCCCAAAATCAGACATAGCCGAGCGTCCAAAAGACTACAGGCCGATTAGTTTGATCCACTCTTTCGGCAAATTTATCACCAAGACATTGGCTATCCGTCTCGCCCCACACATGGATCAGATGATTTCTAACGCCCAGAGTGCCTATATTAAACGGCGATGCATACAAGACAACTTCATGTATGTCAGGAACCTTGCCAGAGCATACCACCGGAAGAAAACTCCAGCACTGTTATTCAAGTTAGACATCTCGAAAGCCTTTGATATGGTTTCGTGGGAGTACATGCTGGAACTTTTGGAGCGCCGAGGTTTCAGTAACAGATGGAGGGAGTGGCTGGCTATCATATTCAGATCCTCGCACTCAACAGTTCTTCTAAACGGCACTGAAGGTAGCCGGATAAACCATGCGAGAGGCCTCAGACAAGGTGACCCACTCTCCCCATATCTATTTATACTCGCCATTGACACACTGCACAGTATTTTGGAATTGGCGACGATGAATGGGATCCTGTCTCCATTGAGAGGAAGACATGCTAAGCTGCGACTGTCACTGTACGGCGATGACGCCGTCATTTTCATTAATCCGGTCCAGGAAGAAGTAAGGGCCCTATTTGGAATTCTTGAACAATTTGGATCAACGACCGGTTTAAAACTAAACCTTGAGAAGTGTATAGTGGCACCGATCAGATGTGCAAGTCTAAACCTTGATCAGATTCTGGAAAGTTTTGTGGGGAAGAGGGTTAGTTTCCCATTGACATACCTGGGATTACCACGGACCCTGGGGCGTCTGAAGGTAGCACATGTGCAGAGTATAGTGGATAAATCAAGGTCCAAACTTGCTGGCTGGCAAGGACGGTTGTTGAACCCGGCAGGAAGAAGAGAGCTGGTCCGTTCTGTGCTCAGCGCCATGCCCACATACCTGCTGACATCGATGAAGGCGCCAAAACAATTGACTGATGATATTGACAAGATTAGAAGGCGCTTCCTCTGGGCAGGCGACAGCGAACTTACTGGCGGAAAATGCAAGGTGGCATGGACGTCCGTGGCCAAGCCTGTAGAATTTGGCGGGCTAGGAATCATTGATATGGAGAAATTTAGCAGAGCCTTACGTATCAGATGGCTCTGGTTTCAGTGGACTAACCCGGAGCGTCCGTGGAATGGTAGAGCGGTGCCGGTGGATGCGGAGGATATGGCACTTTTCAATGCAGCCACAGTAGTTACAGTCGGAAACGGGCTCAAGGCTTCCTTTTGGCAATCAAGCTGGATACATGGCCGGCCACCAGCCAATCTGTGCCCGCTGCTATACAAACACAGTAGGCGAAACAATAGAACGGTAAGGGAAGCAGTCATGAACGGAAGCTGGATTGGGGACATTGCCTATAATCTGAACCATGAACTTCTGATTGAATACTTCAAGCTATGGACAGCCATTGAGACGGCCGGTATCAATCTAGATGACACCAGTGAAGACAAGATAACCTGGACACTTGAGAGCTCAGGAGAATACTCGGCTAAATCAGCGTATGCAGTACAATTTGCAGGACAAATCAGCTCCAATTATCCGGCTTTGATTTGGAATGTATGGGCACCACCGAAATGCAAATTCTTCGTATGGCTGCTCCTCCAAGACAGGCTGTGGACAGCGGCGCGATTACAGCTGCGGGGATGGAAGAATAACTACTTTTGTGCGCTATGCGAAAGAAACTTGGAGACGGCACAACATCTGTTCTTCGAGTGCCCCTACTCTCGGTTGGTCTGGCAGCTTGTGGCCTCCTGGAGCTCCTGCAACAGCCTTAACCCGGCTAGCTGGAGGGATGAGCGCGACTTAGAAGACTGGTACAGTCAGGCGTTCGGAACAGGGGGAAAGCGAGGAAAAAGTCTCGTAATACTGACGCTTTGGATCATCTGGAACCGGAGAAATGCTGTCATCTTGTTTTCTGAGCAGAGGAGTCGGAAGAGCCATGGGCAACTCTTGCGTCACTGGTGCCTGTAAGGATCCAATTGAGCTTCCTTTGCTTGTCGATTGAATTATTCTGCTAGAACGTTGATCAATACTTTTTTTTTGAAAGGTCAATACTTCATCATAGTTCTTTTGGTTGATTTGTGTTTTAGATTCAGATCCCTCCTCATATGACTTGTTTTCGATGAAATTGAGATAATCCTTCTTTCAGGGGGAAAAAAAGAAATTGAGATAATCCCTTAGTTGGGCAAAACTGGAACCCTCGCTCTCCAAAAATTTCTTTTTTTTTTTGTTTGATGCACGAAAAAAAATATAACAGATACTTTAGGTCTTAAATGACACCGCTGCCACCCACCGCTACTATGAGTTTTGCGTTATCAATGTTACAATACGTAGAATACTATGAACAATGGCATGTACGTGTGCTATTGCCTAGAAGATTTATTTTGGAAATGTATGAAAATGCTTAAATTTCTAAGATATCTACTTATCTTTTGACTATAGAGTGTGCAGAAAGAGTAGTGCGTGTATTATGTTGTAAGCTATGCAGAAGCATATAGATCATTACTTCTGTTTGGCCAAGTAACCAATTATCAGGTATAAGCTGAGTCATCTATCACAAGTAACCTGTGTTATATATTTTTGATCCAGACAGTTCGAAGTTGAATGCAATATTATTTTCTATACAGATTATACAGAACTATTCTTCTGTCTGCCATTTCCTTTCATAAAGTTTCTATTTTGGAGTTTATTATTTTGAAGTAGCATGCTCCCTAATCTCCTCATAGCATGTAATTTCTACATTTTCCCTTTGCCTTTCTCAAACTTTGTGTGATTGTTCTTGTAACAATTTCAGCTCCTGCACTGCTGGGAAAGACCCGTGATCCAGCTTTCAAATGGAAGTTCTATGGCTTCTCAGCTCTACTTGATAGGCGGGCTGTTACAGCCAACTCTGCCATTTTTCGCTGTTGTGGATATGGTTGGTATGTACCATACTCGAAATGAATCCATATTAAGCAGGCACCATGCACACACTCAAAATCTTATCTAGTTTGTTTGGGAAGATAACATAGTTGTCTGTCAAAAATATTAATTAGACTGTCAGGTAGTCACAAATGATGTTTTAGTAAATGTATAAACGCTCATGGCTGTAAAATTTCAAACTCCATCACAGTCCTCAGGAAAAGCCTTTTGTTTTCTTCCGCATTGATTACTAATCTCGTAACATATCTGCTCATGAATTCATTTAACAGGTTCCTGCAAGTGAGCCCAATGCATAAAAAATCTGGTGACAAAATTCCACATATTGCTCTTTCGCTCTCAGTGTACCGAAACAACTTAAAGGCAGGTGACATCTTGAGCACTGTGTTCGAGTTGTCAATGTACAACCATTCAAAAGGGACATATCATGGATGCAAAGGTAGTTTCTGAACTTATTATGTCAAGCCCAAACATATTATTACAAATGGGCTTATCCCTCCGTCACTACCGGAAACACCTAATTTGCCGAGTGTCCCCACCTTTGCCGTGGGCACGATTTCGGGCACTCGGCAAACATGGTTTTTGCCGAGTGTCCCAAAGACGACACTCGGCAACAATAAAACTCACGGCATAACGGTTTATACCGAGTAGTGCCTACACTCGGCAAAAAATAGACACACGGCAACTTCATGTCCGGTAAGACCGGTCGATCTCCGTTATCCTTTTGCCAAGTGGCACACGTTAACACACGGCAAACCCACATATATGTCGAGTGCCAAAATACAACACTCGACAAACACACATCTATACCGAGTATCACCTTTTGACACTTTCGGCAAATCTTTATTATATGCCGAAAGTGTCGAATCTTACACTCGCAAACATTTTTTTTTTTTTTTTGCCCCCCCCCCCAAACTTTTTGTACTATTGTCTTACAATACATGTTGCTCTCTGTTCAAGTAATGTACATTTCTGAGTTATTTTACTATATTTCATCAATTTATTTTAGTCAAATGAATTTTCGGTAATTTTTTGGATTTGAACTGCAAGTGCTTCGAATATCTGAAAAAAGTGAATAAAAAATGATATTCTTTTCACTGAGTTTGTTTTGATACCGTATCCAAGGCAGGACCGAAATCTCGAACATTGTGTTCACGAAACATGAGCGTAAACGCGTGCGTGGCGGAAACGTCTGAAAATTCTATAAAAAACAAACGAAGTCTGAAAATCTTGAAATTCGTCGAGTTGTCATGATATCATACGTGGAGGCTATTGTAAAAAATTGAGAGTGTTTCGGCAAAGTTGACACGTATGTTGCTTACAAATCGGATCATCTCCGGAGAAGTTTCTGAGATGTGAGAAAGGTCCGGTAAGATGAGGAGACAATTTGAATGTCGATTTGGAGTTTCACTTCAAAAAATTTTGTATATATAATAGAGAACAAAGATCGCTTCTTGTGAATTTTTGGTAATTTTTCGAGCCATTTCGTAATTTTAATTCTTTAAATCATGCGATTATTGAATTTTATATGCGTGATATACAAACACAGAAATAATAGTCCAATTTTGTACAAGCTTGAAAT